CAAAGAAAATCAAAATTTTATACCTCAATGTGACAAAACTCAGCAAAAAAAACTTTCGCAGCTTCTAATTAAATTTATAATTAAGTTTGTAGAGCCTTTATATATTCTTCAAGATAAGGATTTCTATGAATTCGTTAATAGTTGTAAGCTCGGATTTCGTATACCATATAACAAAACAGCCAAAAATTTGATTAACAAAGCATACCTATGGAGCAAAGGTCAATTAAATAATTTATTTAGTAATACTGCTACTTTAGTTTACTTAACGACAGATCTCTGGATAGCCAAAAGTAACTATGGTTATCTTGGAATAATGGCTACCTGGCTTGCCTCTGATTTTACATTTCACGAAGTTTTATTATTTTGTAATATTCTTAATTATCTGCATACTGGCAAGATTATTAGTGAGGAGTTATATTATGTTATTCAACAATGGCATCTTAGTGATAAAATTTTTATAATTGCTACGGATAACGAAACAAATATGGTGAAGGCAATTCATCTTCTTAATAATTCCTTACCTTTCATTAAAAGGCAACCTTGTGCAGCTCACACTTTACAATTATCTTGCACAAAGGTAAAAAGCAATGCAAACATATGTACAAATGAATTAAAAATTTGCAATTATTTTTTAAGTTACCAAAACAAGCACAAAGGTTAAGAGAGGTGCAGTGTGAGAATAATTTGGCCAAATGTGATGATAATATTGATGTGCTAATAAGTCCTCTGGATGTCTTGCTTAATACCAAAACTCAGTAGAATTCTACCTTTATAGCATGAAAATGACTTCTCAAATTACATAACTCTATATACTTGGTTTCAATATCATTGTTAGTAAAACCAGATCGTACGTCCCAACAAGAAGGCGCAAAATTAGATAAATTATGCTTAATACTAGAGGAGATAATGTAAATATCTTCTAATTAGAAAATTTAAATTCAATTTACATGATTACACATTTCTGGTTCATGCAAATTCATAATGTTTGAAAATTTTAAAATCTGTTAAGAGCAGAAATTATGATAGGCAATTCAGTGTAATTTTCATAATTATATTTGTTATTCCTGATAACTAAATAAGTTTTTGTAGCCTTTAGTCGAAAGCAGAGATGCAATAGAAACTATTATAGCTTATGCCATAACTTATATAGTAACTAGTTATAGCATAAGCTATAACAGATAAAATGGTCATCAGTAAATTTGGTTTATACCAGCTGTAACAGTTTTTATTACATCTCTAGTTGAAAGATCTGTGCAAGAATGATTTTCTATTTAAATTCTAGGTTAGAATTTATCAAGAGATATAGTTAGCAAGGTCTAACTATATAGTATAAAAGTAAGATTTTGGGAGTTACTGTTACATATACAACCAAAATACACAAAATATTAAAAAACTCAAAAAATGATTTGGTCTGAGAACCAGAATAGTAAGTTTATTATCTTGTAAAATTTTAGCAATCTTTTAATAAAAATTATTAATGCCAATCTATTCTAATATATTCCAAATAAAACACAAGTCTTTACATATATAAGGTTTACGTTATCAATTGACCAATTTATTTTTATAACTGTTTTCATAAATTCTGGGACATCTGGCAAAAAATGGTTCAAACAAATATTGCCAGTTCAATAAGTTTGTGATTCAGTAGTAATAAACTTTTGATTTTGATATGAATTACTATAATTCATATCCAAATCAAAAGTTTATCACTGCTGAATCACAAACTTATTGAACTAGCAATATTTGTTCAGACCATTTTTTGCCAGATGTCTCAGAATTTATGAAAACAGTTGTAAAGGTACACCAAATCTGTCTGCCTTGATTAAATTAGTTTTTAGCCTCAGGCAGTTAAATTTTTGGCTACTTCAGCTGGAATAAGATTAGACCAGTCTAAATATCGAGTTAAATATTCTCAAGGTATTACTGCTACTTTCATAATTTCTGGAACATCTACTCGTTACCTGAAATCTTTTTGGTCATCTGGTAAATTATCTAACTTTTTGGAAATTACTTTGCTGCCTCTGAACTGAAGGTCCAAAGATAGCAATGTAGTTTCCAAAGAGTTAGATAATTTACTAGATTACTAAAAAGATTTTGAGTAATGAGTAGGTGTTCTAGAAATTGTGAAAGTAGTAGTAAAGGCATATTTTTTAGTATGGGAGTACATTAAACTTTATGAAAGATATTGAGATTATAATCCGAGTTAGTGTCTAACATTAGTTAAAATTTCAAAAATACTTGATATTTTATCAATACTAAATTATTTAGAGCGGAATTCTCTTATAAAATTAGGTAAGATAGTATTTGGTAATATTGATTGAAAATGATTTATTTTATTTATACAAATATTTTATTTAGATTATAAAAATGAATTGAATACATTTTCAAAAGATTCTAACCTAGAATCTGGAAATCTTCCTTGTACGAGTTAGCAAAAATGTCTTTAAATAGATTTGAACAATATAAAATCTGTCTAATTGACTATGTTAACTTAGAATTAAGCTATAATAAATTACTCAAATAACCTGAGTAATTTAATAATATTTTGGCAGAAATTTTCTTAACAGGTCTGGTCTAGAGTTAATACTTCACTATGTTTTATATCTGGATATAAAATAAATTTGGATTAAATTATTATAATTTTATAGCAAAATATCAATCCAGATATAAATATATCCAGATTGAAGTATTAACTTTAGTCTGATCTAAGAATATTCTCGAGCACCTTACTTAACTATCAGAGAAAAACTTTTAATCAAGGCAAAAACTAAATATTCATTGGGCCAGTAAGTATGGAAGTAGAAATCTTTTATTTTTTTATAATAAACTAGGGAATTGAATTGAAAAGTTGCTTGAGAACACCTTTAGTAAATTCAAGAATAGCAAGTATTTAAATTTTTAATTTTAAAAACTATAAATTATTTACCTTTTTTTTTTTTTTATCTAAGTTTTATTCAAGAAATGATTCAACTGTTACAGCTATTTGAAACTATAACATGAAAATTATCAGGCGCCAAATATTCAACACTTAACCTGGTGTATCTATATATATATATATTAAAACAAATGTTCGCACTAAGAATTGAAAAAAAACGAAACTATTGATAGTTATATAGATCTTATTCATGGACCTTTATTACAAGATAATAATTTAGAAAATGCTGAAAATAATGATGATTCAAGTTCTATGAGTAATGATGATGACATTCTAACTGCTAGAAATAAGCACTACTTAAAATATGCCTATCAACAATTTAAACAACAGGTAAAAAATACGCAAGGTCAAAGTAGAGGAAAAGGTCGAGCTAGAGGTCAGGTCAGAGGTTGCAGTAGAGGTCAAAACTATAGGCATATGACTAAACAAAATAAGAATGAAAATATTGATCAAATTGAATATTTGCCACTAGCAAACACAGAAAATCTCACTCAAAAGGTTCACGCAACTATATATTTTTTCTTAGATAAACTATAAGAAGTACCAAATAAACTATCTTTAATTGCAATGATTTTGGATCCATGAATAAAAAGTTTTCTGATTATAAATGATTCTGATCGTGTGCAGCAATGAACACAAGCAGAATTTCTATTGAAAAACTTATATACTCAACTTAAACAAGATTCAACAATTGTTCAAGAAAGCATTTTAACTATAACAACTTTGAGTAATGATAATACTGAAGATATATTTATGAAAATATGAGCTAATGATCAAATACCAGTAGCAGATGAGATTACTCGTTATTTGTGTTATCTTGATGAACCAAAAAATATTGATCCTTTAATTTGGTGGCAAGGATATCAAGTAAGTTATCCTTTTTTGTCACAACTAGCACGTAAGTATCTTTCAATACCTGCTACATCAGTTCCTAGCGAATGATTCTTTTCTGATGCTGGCAATCATATTATAGCAAAAGAACACGATTAGCATCTAATTTGGTTAATAATATTCTGTTTTTAAAATGTAATACTATATACTTTCCTATGTTTCTATCTTTAGAAACTGACGAATAGTTTTTCTTTGCTTTTTTTAATATAGTTGTTTTAAGCTAGTTTTTATTAATTAGAATAAGTAAAATATTAGTATTTCAAATCAATATAAAAACATTTCACTAAAGCAAATAAAATGATAACTAAATCTCTGCTTAGCTTTTTAATAATAAATAGTCGCCTCATTAAAATGTGTATAATATAAGCTAATTTCTGATTAACTTATCACCTACAGTTATAAGTGAGCAACGTAAATGAATCTTAAAAGTTCTTATCAGTTATAATGATATCAGTTTATGAAGCAATATTATTAGTTGATTATCACATATTATCATTTATGACCAATTATAGATTGTTATATATTATGTAACAAACTATTCACGGATATGCAGGTTATATCTGGATATCGATTTAACAATTCAGATTTAAATCTGAAGCTGAAGATCACTAATTAAATAAATCCGGATTTAAAAAATAAATTCAGTTTCAAACTCTACTCCTGATATTTATATCTGATACAAAATTCATTCATTCACAAGAGGTTTTTACAGTTATAAAAAATTTTATTAAGAGTTGTTCTCAGAGAACATGCACTTAAAGTTAAGGTGTTCAAAATACTAGTAAATCAAACATTAATTAGGGTTGCATGATATAGGATAACTTTCTTCTGATTGGTCAATTACTTACAATTGTATTTATACAGTTTAAAGTACTTTTTAAAAATGTAACATTTCACAAGTAAAAAATAAAAATTAAAC